ATAAGATAAGGGTTATCCCTTATCACTTAAAGGGACTTCTAACCCAAATATGATTTGGATTAGCAACTCCTAATGAGATTAGGAGCTGATCCCTTTAAGATTATGAAAGGAAAAAGGGGCGAAAACACAGAGAGTTAGTGATTGATGTTCAATTCTCTTCAGAGCTGAAAATCACAAGAAGAGAGTTTTCTTCACCCTGCGAATTCTCTCCTGCCGCTTCCTTTCTGCCGCCGCCATTACCTTTAGTTCGATCTCCAGTTCTTGGGAGAAATCAAGATCTGATCTTGATTCCAATCTTTTGGGAAAAGATTGGTTGGAGCTGTACTCACAAGCCATCCAGTTGATTCTTGCGAAGGGTCAAGTTCTTTTGGAAGAACATTGTTGATCCTGCTCCATCCTGTACTGCGCCATTTTCAGTGGGAGCAGATTTTGGATCCTTCCTTGGGCGTGAACACCTCCATTGGGAGATATTGTTTCTTCGTATCAGGTACATCCTCCCTCCTACTCCTTTTAGTTCAGATCTGATCTGATTCATGGTTCAAGATTGATCCTTGAAAATATGTTTTCCAAAATAGGGAATTCGATTCCCTGCAAAGATGGGAGATTTTTTTTTGAAATTTGCCCAGTCCATTCCGCAAGACTTTGACGTCCATGTGACGGATATCCCATCCCTTTATAGATTATTTAACAATAATGGAAGATGCCACTGAAATCACGTCAATAGATATAAACATTGTTTGATTTGGAAAACCAAATCTTAATAAGTCATGGCCCTATTTTTATGGGAAAGTGGAAAGAGTAGAGAGGAATTAGGGGTAGAAGTGAATGAGAGGATAAAACAAATATTGAGCTAATTAAGGAGATAAATTACATTGTTATAGAAAGTGAGAGAAGTGAGTTTGGGGGTGGGGGGGGGAGAGATCTAATGGGAAAGGAATGAAGAAAGAGAGTGTTGAGATGGTTATTTGGGAGTGGTGGGAAGCAGAAGATGAGAGAGAGAGAGGAGATATATATACAAGAGCCATGAGGTTAGAAGTAGCTGTAGCTGGTAAGGCAATGGATATTGATTCAAAAAGATTGGGAAAATTTTGGAGATGGACCCTTTTATTGGGAACGTTGGATTTTGATTATCTACGATGGAGTCAACATTTGCTGACCACAAATCACGGACAATCCCATAATCAGTTACACTTTAGAGAGGAGATATTTGCCGTTACTTCTTTTTCTTCATAAATGAAATAGATGAAAAGTTCATGGTCGTCTGGTTTTGTATATCTGGAGAGCCCAAATTTAGCCTTTCTAAATGGAATCATGGGAAACAATAGGTGGATAGTAGAGTATATAACACATTTATTCACCTGTTTTGATAGTATCATGCTAATTAAATCCAAAAATATTGTACCACACGTTAATTCAACTAACAAAAACTAAAACAATAAACAATAAACAATATTGTCAAACCCATTTCTAAAACATCTTGTCCTCTTTCATTTGTCAAACTCAATTTTGTCCTTTTTCTCCGTCACCTCTAAAATATGCTTCATCTCCCCCAGGTCACTTCGGTCTTCAGCTCCTCCACCTTCATATTCAACTCTGTATTAAGCTCATTTACCTTCATCTTGATTTTGTTCATCCTCCAATCTGCTACATGAGTCATGTACTCCCTCTCTTTCATCGATGCTTCCTACTCTTATTTCTTGTTTAATTTTGGATTATTTGATCTTTCTGCAATCACGGCGATCTTCTTAGCAATGTTATTTTCTCTTGTAGGCAATTGAATTGTTTGGCCTAGTGATCGGGTCAATGCTCCAATGTCTGATTAAAGTTATCTTTGTTTTTTTTTTTGTTTTTTTGGGTAACTTTTCGAGATCTATACATCCCAATGAGCCATAGGTGCCTTCCACACTAATTTCACAAAAAAAAACACTTTTTTTTTGCTAAAATCACAAATTTTAATATTTTGCAATATTCTCAATGTTGTTCCATTGGATCATATATGGATCTAATAAATTAAAAATTAAAAGTTAACCACTATCCAATGTTCAGAAGAAAGTCTTAAAAATATACTTGTGAACGATATTAAATAAATAGAAAAAAATATAATATTTAAAATATACCATAAAAATAAAAGATATATGAAATATTAAATAAATACAAAAGTATGAAAAAGAAACTGTAACAAATAAAAAGTTAAAGACTATTACAATTAATATTACATATTTAAATTTTAAATTCAACGATGAAATTTAAATATTTAAACACTTTAATAAATTGTATAACTAAACTAAATATTAGAAATTTAAGTTTGACAAAGCATTCGCACCTATTCGATTCATGTTGCAGTCAAGAAAAACATGCCCACAAATGTTGTGCTGCATGTGGTGGTCATTCAGACCAATTGAGTCGTGATTGAGCCCCTAGCCGTTTCGATTGGACCAATTAAACAAATATTTGCATGCATACATATATACATAAACAAATGCATTTATTTGAAGTATTTAGTGTGGGTTGACTGACCAACCCAAGCCTAGCTTGGGCCAAAGCCTAACATGAGTGCATCAAATTTTAGTAGGGAATGGAGGCAAAGAGCTAAAGTTGCTTGGCTGAATGAGGGGGACAGGAATACTCACTTTTTTCACAAAAATGACAAATGTCAGAGCTAAAACTTTTGTAATTACCAGGCTGGAGGGAGAGAGCAAAGTAGGTATCACTAAGACTGATATGAAGCTAGTGGCAGCTAGCTTCTATAAAAAGTTGTACAAGGAGTCTTGGTCCTTCAGACTTTTTCCTAGAGCCCTTTCTTTTAATGAGCTGAGTGATGAGCAGTCATCTCTTATTGAGAGACCTTTCTTAGAGGAGGAAATAAAAGAAACTATCAAGTTGTTGGCTGATGAGAAATCTCCAAGGCCTGATGGCCTTACAAATCTTTTCTATATTAAATGATGGGATGTGGTGAGACAGGACATTCTGAATGTCTTCTAGGATATATTTGAGAGGGGTTCTTTGCAGAGAAGTCTGAACACTACCTTCTGCATAGTTTCTACAAAATCCTTGCTAAAGTACATGCTAAGAGAATGAAAGTAGTCCTTGGTAGTGTTATCTCAAATAACCAAAGTACTTTTGTTCTAGGTAGGCAGATGCTGGACTCTGTTCTCATTGCTAGTGAGCTCATTCATTCCAGGAAAAAAGAAGATTCCCTAGGATTGATTTGTAAGCTTGATATTGAAAAGGCCTATGATCATGTTAACTGGAGATATGTTGATCTTGTGTTACATCAGATGGATTTTGGGCAGAAATGGATGAATTGGGTTAAAGTCTATATCACCTCTCCAAAGTTCTTAGTCTTGGTTAATGGACAGTGCACAGGTTTCTTTAATAGTTCCAGGGGTCTTAGACAGGGAGACCCCCTGTTTCCTCTTCTATTTATATGTGTAATGGAGATCCTCACTCTATTCTGTAAGAAGGTTGCAATTTCAGGTGAGTGGGAAGGTTTTGCAATCGTGCCGAGGGGAGAGAATGTGAATATTCTTCAATTTGCAGATGATACATTGTTCTATGTGGATGCCTCTCCCTCTCGGGTGGAGTTAATCCTTGGGATCTTGTCTTGGTTTGAAGTGACAACAGGTCTTAAAGTTAATTGGAATAAGAGCCAAATCATCCCTGTAGGCCATGTCTCCAACTTAGTAGAGTGTGCTAGTATTTTGGATTGTCAGGTTGAATCCCTTCTAGTCAAATATTTGGGACTCCCTCTGGGGATGAGTGGTGGTTCTTCTGCAATTTGGGACCCAGTTATTGAGAGATTGGAAAGGAAATTGGCCTCTTAAAAGGCAAAATACCTCTCATTTGGGGGTAAGGTGACTCTAATTAAGAGTACTCTCTCCAATTTACCTACCTATCCTGTCTTTATTCTCTATTCCTAACAAGGTTGCAAATCAAATTGAAAAGCTTCAAAGGAGTTTTCTTTGGAGAGGCTGAGAGGAGGAGAAATAAGTGCACTTGGTAAATTGGGAGCAAGTTTGCCTCCCCAAAGTTGAAGGGGGGTTAGGTATAAGGAAGCTGAAATCTTTTAATTCTGCTCTTCTCTATAAATGGATTTGGAGATTTGTTGCAGAAAATGATGCATGGTGGAGATTTCTCGTTGCTAGCAAATATGGTGTGAATTGGGGCAATTGGAGAACTAGGGACCCTCCTCCCAACTGGGGTAACTCTCTGTGGAAAGGGATAATGAAGAACTTTTTAGCTCTAGCCGCAAGGGTCTCAATTAGGATAGGTAATGGTAACAGGACCAAATTCTGGAAGGACCCTTGGTGCTCAGATGAACCTCTTGTTGAGTCCTTCCCCCTCCTCTTCCAATGTGCTTCAGATCATGAGGCCTTAGTTGGAGAGTGCTATAGTATTTCTGGTGATTCGGTTCTTTGGACTCCCTCATTTCAAATGAATCTTTTTGACTGGGAGGTGGAAAAGGTTTTGAATCTGTTGACTTGTCTTCAAAACCAAGAGTTGGATTACAGTTTGAAGGATAAGTGGCATTGGAAGTGGAACTCTGATGGGGTGTTCTCTGTTAAATCTTTGGTTGCTAATCTCAGTAGGAGGGGTGTTCCTGATTTCCCAGATCGGCAAGTGTGGAATCCCAACAGCCCAACAAAAGCCAACTTCCTAGTTTGGACTATGGCTCTTAATAAATGTCTTTCTAAGGAGAACCTAGTGAGAAGGGGAATTCAGGTTTCAGACTTGTCTTGTAGTCTATGTGGGAGCAGTGCTGAATCTACTGATCATTTGTGTATCCATTGTCCATACTCTACTCAATTGTGGAACCATTTCCTCAACTCCTTGAAGGTATGTTGGGTGATGCCGAGGTCGGTAAAAGAGCTATTGTGTTGTTGGCAGCTTATGGGTTTGAGCAAGAAGAAGAAGGCTGTCTGGAAGATGGTGCCAATTGTTGTAGTTTGGTCCATCTGGACCGAGAGGAATACAAGGATTTTCAGTAACAAGATTCTAAGTCCAGAAGAGTTAATTCAGAAATCAGTGGGCAAGTTGATTTCTTGGGTGTCTGTGGATGCGGATTTTAGAAACTATAATGTGTCAAATGTATTTCTTTCTAGCTCTTGATGGAAAGTGTATTTGTTGATTAGATCAGTCAGCCTGTTCTGGGACTGATCTCAGCCTCTTGTGTGTAATTTCTTATCAATAAATATTACTTTACCTTTTCCTAAAAAAAATAGTAGTGAATGGGTTCAGGTTGGACAAATTGGGCTTGACGTCAAGCTAGGTTTGAACTCAAGCTTTAGGTCCAATTCTTAGGATTGGACTTAGGTCGAGTTTAAACTCAGCCCTACTTGCCTGACTTGCATCCTTGCATGTATATGTGTATAAAATATGTATATATAGATTTATAAGTAAATGTTTACCTATTTTTAATCTATTCTACTCCTAAATTGGGTCTCAAAGCACATGACCCAATAAAAAATGACTAAGGGGGTGTTCTGTGGTGTAAATGAGAAATTGGGTGGTGTATTTTAATCCATAGGTGTGGTGTGGATGAAAACACACCACACCCCAATAGGATAATTCTGCACTTAGATAAGAATGTGTGGACCGATCCACACAACACCTCCATGGGCGTTCTGCAAGGTGTGGTGCATTTCAATCTACACCTTGGGTTTGATTCTATGCATCTCAACTATAACATTTAAGATAATATATACCATTAATCATTAAAAAATAATGTTTTACTTTTTAGTAATATACACAATAGAATAATTATAGTAAATTGCTAAGAATTTTAATAATTAATAAAGTTAATACTAATAATATTAAATAACAAATAATGATATTAATATTAATTACCAAGTAGTAACATTAATTATAATTGATAATATTAACAACAATATTAATAATATTTAGTAATAAGTAATAATATCAATATCAATTAATATTAATTGTTAATATTAATAAAAGTAATATTCAAAACTTAATAATTAAAAAAATAATGTTAACATTAATTAATAATATTGATAACATTAATAATAAAAATATTTATTTTTATTAATAAAATAATATTTGAACCATAATTATTAATAAAATATACATTTATTTGATTAATGTTATTAATTTTTTCATGCAAGCTCATATTGCATGATATATGCAATTCCAAAAAATAATGTTAGTTTCATCTAAGTCCATAGTTTTACCATAAATAAAATTTAAGAGTAACATGATTCCAAACACATCTAAGAGTTTAAGAGTTTAAGCGATAAAATTACAACTACACCAAAACCATGTTTAACGGTGCATAATTTATTCTACTACAAATAGTTCATTTCAATGAAGTCATAAGTCAACATCATGTAATGTCAAACAAACAAAATCAAATACACGACAACATAAAACTCAAGCACCAAACTAGTATGACTTTACTCCCACATCCTATTAACTAAGTTATCTTTAACATTAATTGTTCCAAAGTCCATTTTTTCACTATCATCATCTGAATCATCAACATCACTTCGCCCTCATCCCTAACCGTCATGTCCTCCCTTGATCATGTATTGATATCTTTGTCATGAATAATTTCTCTCTTAATGAAATTGTATGTGATGAACCAAGCCAAAATGATAATACTATCCGTCAATAAAACGATGGCATGTTTTATAGGATAGGAAATTTCCCTTGCAATGGGAAGAATGTCTATAATTGAATAATTTCTTCTTCAATCTAAACCTACAATGTCTCCTAAAATCATTCGAATGATATAGCTCTCTAGAAAAAATGTGTTATGTAACCATCACCACTAGAAAATCCAGAATCTACAACACAGTACTTTCCTACATAAAACCATAAACAAACATATAGTTTAGTTAGGCCTAAACTTGTTTCTAAACCAATAAACAGATTATATTATATTACCTAGAGGATGGGGGAATTCTAAGTGGAGACAAGATAGAACTTCTACAAATACTCTAGAGTGATGTGTTGATCCTTCCCAACCCACATAAACAAATGTAAACTGCATATCAAATGAGCACACTGCTAACACATTTGTAGTGCAATACAGTTTTCTTCCTTTATATAGAATTTGTTCCTCCTGAGTAACCCATGCATTTACATGGGTACTGTCAATTGCACCAATGCAATCCTATTTGGACAAACACATGGTTAAAACAAGAAAACACAATAAATATGTATACTCATTATGTAATGTCATTGAATTACTTGAAACCATGGATAATATTTTTTTTTTTGAACACTTGATGTGAGGATGCACCTCTTTAAATGAGGGTGGGCAGATCAATTCTCTCCCAAGTCTACATATTTCTTTGCAAATTCTCCTAAAGTGAACACTAATGATGCTCTTAGAATGTTGGAACTTGTTGGTCATAATATGATATCGTTCATTATGACCAACAATTAAAAGAAAAATCGCCAAAGATTTTTCAACTATGATATTCCGGGTGTTTTCCAAAAGGACTCATTCTCTCAACAGATTTGCAAACTTCTTAAAAATATGCCTCTCCATCCTAAAAGTATCATATACTTCGCCAGGGTGTTCTAGGTTATCTAGACATTCACGAACAAAAGCATGCCTATTCATCTTTGATATGCGATAAGGTTGCTTAAGGAAATATGTGTTGTAATATTTCATCATTTTATTTATAAGGATGAGTTTGATAAATTCCTCATCACATTCTTTCTATTCACCAAACAGAAGTGTATCTGCTACACTTGAGTTATCCATTGAATTCCTGTCAATGAGACATAGCATTTAAGCACCAATATTCAGTATATACGAATATAACATGATAAATTGCACACCAAAATTCACTATATTCCCTAGCTCCATTTATTGCAAAATTATAATCCATATTGTTGAAAGTTCATCACCAAAATGAAAATCATGTTCATCATAATACTTTAACTAATCATAACAAAAAAAAAGACTATGTATTTAGCCAAAAAATGTCCAAACAATATAATCCTGAAAACCATCCTAACATGTTCAAGTTTTCAAAATGCCACATAACAAACCCAAAAAACAAACAAACAAGCTAATAACTCCATGCCTATAAGCTTTTCAGTCACTTAATCTGACCTTCTATAGTAAATGTCAAGAATGCATGCCTCTAATACTCATCCTTGAAGGCTTGAACTACCTTCAAGACTTGCCCAACATTGATGACTCTCATCATCAAAAAATTATTTACAACTTCCATACATTTAGAGACTAGGTTCTCCTTACTTCATTCTTCCATTTCTTTATTGTTTCTAATCTGCCTCTCTATTTTAAACTCAATCATGTCCATCCTACGCTTGGACATCTCAAACCATATCTCCACAACAAAGATAAGATTACCACCTTGCCTAGTCCTCTTCCCTTTCTTAAGAGATGATATTAAGGAACCCCTTCTTGTTAACTTGCCTGTAGATGGCTAAATCTCTATGTTAGTGTCAACTCTTGAGGTGTCTAGAGTGGAGGCATAAAGTGTCTGTTGGTTCGGCTGATATGTTGTTATTCTCTTGTTTGGGTTGGGTATTAGAGTCTCTAGTTAATGGGCCTAATTGTATCTTGTGTTTTATTAGACTGGGTGTTCCATCACTAATCAGGGGCATCTTGGTCCTTTCATGTAAATTATGAATTGTTCTTATATTAGTGAATAGTGGCAGCTGATGAACAATGCCCATTTGAACACATCTGACTCTCCTATCTTCTTTTTCCTCTTCTTCTTCTTCTCAGCTCTCTCAACARGTTCAGTTCGGCAAACATGGTATCAGAGCTCTAGGTCTGGTCATAGAACACCTCTCTCGCCTGGTTACAACAGCTGTCTCGCACTTCTCTCTCTATCTTGGTACTACAAAGAAACCCTAGGTCTAGTCGTAGAACATAGCAGAAGAAAGGCTGATGCCCTAAGAGATACATAGAGCAAGGTGTAGCCATTCGGCTAAGTGAGATCTATGTAAAGCAGATCTAGAAGAGAGGACTAATTTCATCAGTCCTAGAGCGGTTCATGGGTGAAGGTTAACCTGAAATAGCAGTGATTGGTGTGTGGTAGAAGCCACAACAGCTAGGTCAGGGTTGCAACAATAGTGGCCAAACACAACAGAGTTTTTTTTTTGGCTCAGCACTTCAACTGTAAGTGGCAGCTTGCAACAGCAGTGAGTGGAGTAGTACAGTAGAGTGGGAAGGGTATTACAGCCCTAAAACATACCCTCAGGTCTGAGATTACAGTGTTGCAAGGTCCGGAAGTCTAAAGAGGTTTCACAAAACCTATATGACAGTTGCAAGTCGGAGAAGATGTCTTCTATATCTGGGGAAGTTTCTTCTAGAGATATTAGGACTAGTGGGAGATCTAATCTGGAGAACCCTAATTTGCACAGCCTACAGATAACAAGTGTGTTACTTGATGAATACAACTTTAGGGAATGGTCTGTTTCGTCCATGCTCTTTATCACATCCTAGGATCTTACATGCCATTTGGACGGGTAGAAGAAAGAACCCGAAATAGGGAGTGCTGAATATGTTGTTTGGAGAAGAGAGAATGCTACAGTCATGTCCTGGTTGCTTGCTTCAATGAGTCCCAGGGTAGCTAGAACGGTTCAACACTTCTCCACAGCTGCCAAGATATGGGAGAAGGTGTCTAAGACCTATGGGCAGAAAAAGAATAATGCCCGAATCTATAGACGGAATCAATATATTGTTGTCCTAAAACAGGGAGACATGAGTGTTGCTACATACTTTGCTACATTAGAAGGATTGTGGGAAGAGTTGGATCACCACCTCATCATAGATTGGGAGAATGCCAGAGATAAGGAGAAACACAACAAACAAGTTGAAGAGGGGAGAGCAATCAAATTTTTGGCTGGCCTAGATCCGGTATATAAGAACATAAGGTCCCACATTCTGGAAAGAGATGAGATGCCTGATCTACATCATGTCTACTATYTTGTGAGAAATGAAGAGGTGAGAAGAAAGGAGATGCAAGTTRATGCYCAGACTAAACCAGTARAGCARYCWATAGAACATTCAGCTCTCATTTCTACAAGCCAAAGGGGGAACAAGTTCTCTGACAAGAGACACCTAAGGTGTACTCACTGTGGGGGAGAAAAACATGTGA